AAAATTCGATAACCAGATCAATGGTGGAAAAAATTAAGTACCTTGGACCATATTGGCCACTTCCGGACAAGTTCCAGGTGCCCCGGGAAAGTGACCAGAATCGGACTTGGATAATAACCTATCATGAGGCACATTAAAATACATCAAAATTCGATAAGAAGATCAATGGAATTGAACCCAAGGACCATCCGCTTGAGAAGCAAACGTGTAGCCAACCACGCCATGGGACCCCTCAACTTGAGAAAAATCGTAGTCTCGCGACTCTCACGAGTGTGTAGAGACAAAGTTGAGCTTGACTAAAAATCACGGCTACCGTGAAGGCACCATATTTGACGCGGTTCCTAACTTGACGCACTCGATCAATTTCGACCATTTTCCATTAATATTTTTGAAATGTTAACATTGCAAATATTAGTTCCGGTGCTCTAAGGATGATAGTGAAACAATTCAACTGATGGTTGCTGATAAAGCGGCTGCAGGCGAAAATGAAGACGAGAATGTGGAATTCGATGTCATGTCTGATGCTGACATAGTCAATGCTGTTCTTAACCATGATTCACATTTTTATGAAGGAGAAAGCGTGACGAACACCACCCTGGTTGAAACTGCAAACATTTCTACAGTAGATGACAACCAAGATGAGGAGTACGAACCAGTTCCAGATCAATCAGCGCTAAACAGTATTGACACTATCATCACATGGGCTGAGGAAAACCAATTACCGTTGGAACGGCAGTTTTTACTTCGTGAAATCAGGGGAAATATTCTTGATAAAATCGTCAACAAGGATTGATTTATGATCAAATTTGCAATTCTCTTTGTTTTTACTGAATCACTTTACTGATGAACTACTGTTTTTACTGAAATGATGATTAAATGAATTGAACTACAAAATAAGATAAGAAAATTGATATAAATGTTCATGTATGAAGCCACCAAAAGACCAGTTCTCACGAAACCCACCTTTAACCCTCCGTTACTCGCACCAACTTTTATAACACGAGTACTCGCGCGTTGTACTTTGTACAACAGTGTGAGTTTTCCATTGCCATTTTGCAGCCGAGTTACCAATCGATATGAAACCAACGGGTATTCATTAAAAAACTTGTTTTTAACTAAACAAGCTAAAATTTTATCACAGGTAACACACAAAATGCGGATAATAGAGAAAATGTGACGGTGGGCAAAGATGTTCTAGAGATCATAATCTTTTTGCTGGTGGAGAGTAGTTCAGAATTTTCTCACTACGTAGTGCTAGAATACATGTGAAATTATCGCATGTGATATATCTCGAGATCATGACCACATAGAAAATTATTGTCGTCGACAAAGTTGTTCAGAAGGTCAAGGCTTTTTCGTTGGTGGACAGTAGTTCAGCGTTTTCTCACTTCACGGCATTAGTATACTTGTAAAATTCTCGCATATATAAAATATTTCTAGATCCTTACCATACAAAAAGTTACTGTCTTCGGCAAAGTTTTTCAGGAAGTCCAGATCTTTTCGTTGGTGGAGTAGTTCAGAAAATTCTCACTACGTGGCGCTAGTATAGACATGCAATTTTCGCATATACAATAGCTCGAGATCCTGAGCAGATAGAAGTTGCTGTCTTCGGCAAACTTGTTCAGGGTGTCAAGTAGTTTTGGCTGGTGGACAGTAGTTAAGAATTTTCTTACTACACGGCGCTAGTATAAACGTGAAATTCTCATATAAAATATCTCGATATCCTGTCCAAGTTACTGAAAGTTACTGTCTTAGGCAAAGCTGTTCAGGAGATCATAGCTTTTTTGCTGATTAACAGTAGTTCAAAATATTCTCACTAGGTAGTGCTTGTATACATGTTAAGTTCTCGCATGTGATACATCACTAGATCCTGACGAGATAAAGAATAAGAATTTTCTCACCACGTGGCATAGATGTAAATTTCTCGCATATGCTATATCTCGAGATCCTAATCAGATAGAAAGTTACTGTCTACAACCAAGTTATTCAGGAGGTCAAACAATAGTTTAGAATTTTCTCATAAACTCTAGGCTTTAAATTCCTGAACAAATTTTTTTTGAAGACAGTAACTTTCTATCTGGTCGTGAGATAATTTATATGCGAGAATTTCACATGTATACTAGCATCATGAAGTGAGAAAATTCTGAACTACTGTCCACCAGCCAAAAGACCTTGACCTCCTGAACAACTTTCTATTTGATCAGGATCTCGAGATATAGCATATGCGAGAAGTGTACATGTATACTAACGCCACGTGGTGAGAAAATTATTAACCAGCCAAAAAGTCTTGACCCTCTAAACAACTTTGCCGAAGACAGAAACTTTCTAGCTGATCAAGATCTCGAGCTATTGAATATGGGAGAAAGGCACGTATATACTAGCACCGCATAGTGAGAAAATTCTAAACTATTGTCACCCAACAAAAAGATCTTGACTTCCTAAAAAACTTTGCCGAATACATTTACTTTCTATCTGATCAGGTTCTAGAGATATTTTATATGCAAGAGTTTCACATCTATAGTAGCGCCGCAAAGTGAGAAAACTCTGAACTACTGTCCACCTGCGAAAAAGCCTTGACATCCTGAACAACTATGCCGAAAACAGTACCTTTTTATCTGGTTGGGAACTCGAGATATTTTATATGAGAATTTCACGTGTATACTTGCGTCGCATAGTGAGCAAATTCTGAACTATTGAGCACCAAGTAATAGGCTTTGATCTCCTGAAAAACTTTGTGAAAGAAAGTAATTTTTTATCTGGTCAGGATCTCGAGACATATCACATGCGAGGATTTCACATGTATACTAGCGCTACGTAGTGAGAAAATTCTGAACTACTGTCCGCCAGCGACAAGGCTATGATCTCCTGAACAACTTTGTCAGAGACAGTAACTTTCTATCTTGTCAAAATCTTGATATATTCCATGTTGTAATCAATAAAGTCAAATCCCACGTAGTATGGTCACAGTTTTCGCGGTTTCCATTTATATTTTCCCTATTATCCGCATTTTTTAGGTGTTTACTGTAATCAAAGTTTAGCTTGTTTAGATCAAAACAAGTTTTTTGATGAATACTCGTTGGTTTCAGATCTATTGGTAACTCAGCAACAAAATGGCAATGGAAAACTCATGTGTGTTGTACAAAGTACAACAGCGCGAGTAACGGAGAGTTAAAGGCCCTTTGGTACATTTTTTTACGGATCTTCAAAAATTTTGTAAGGTTGCCATTCCCAGCTCCCCCCCCTGAAACGTGACGTAATTAGTGAACGGACCATCATGGTATTCAGTTTTTGTATGTTGTTGTGCCACATGATATGTTTGATTCCTTTCAGGTCAAAGTTAATCCAAAACCCCTTAACGCCGGATTTTGTAACAAAGGCACACAAACACTTAAATATAGTTATTTCCCGATCTTGTCAGACTGAGTCGAACGATGTATGTTACTCGTCCTCGGATCGAAAGTCGGTTTTCCAAGCGGTTTATGAAAAATAATTTGCAAGATAGGTAAAAAAAATATGACTCCGGATAATCGAGCCTCCGGTTAATCGAGCCTCCGGATAATCGAGTCCGGCCTGTATTTTCATGATAAAACTAAATATTAAGATCTGTTCCGTAAGTTCTGATTGTTTCTCATTTATTTTTCATTAAAATAATAGATTTTCCTTTTTCTAGTCTTACTCACATGCCTATGTTCCTTTTTTACATTTTCACTTAATTCCGATGGTTCGGTTCATGGATTTTGAACGGGATTTTATTATATTTTTAATCTCGTATTTTTGCACTAAGAATAAAAATGAAAAAAAAACAAACGACTTTTTGTCCTTTCGACCTTTTGTCCCTAAACCGTTTAAATAATAATTTAATAGCACAAAAATAATTTGTGTAGTTTAAGGATATAGACAATTTTGAAAAAGACCAAAAAACCTTCAATATTTTGAAAGTAAAATAAATATAAAATTTGCATTAGTTTAATAACCAGTGGATTCGCTATGATCATCTGAAGGTGCAATGAAATAGTGCGTTGAACTTCATTCTGGGACCCATCGATTCATTAATTATTTATGATAAAAGAAATTAGAGGGATAAAATAAGTATTTTTCATTTTGACGCGAAAAAAAGGTGTACGACCATGTTTCAACAGATTCTATATAAATCCCTAACGTTAGAGTTTTTCAAACTGCTTACGGAAGTAATGAAAATGTGCCTCAATGTAATCTCCGAGTTAACACTTTACCACAGAGTTAACGTTCCCTTAATGATTTCATCGGAAATAAACAAACACATAGGTACCACCAACCCTCCATGCATCCGCTATTGATATCCACGGTGAAAATCTAAACCAAAACAAAAAAGTAGAGAACACATGGAAATGGAAGCTAGCACGTGAAGAAACGCATCCATGACCTCCAAGAGGTATAGGCTTCACTTCTAGTGAGTAGCAAACATGTGTGCACGCATACGGTAGACTCCCCGCAGACTAAATAGCGAAACAGTGAAATCCACTTATTCTACCGGCATCACACCATTTCATTAGCCTACGGTTGAGACAAGATTCACTGTTGACAAGAAAAAGAGGATGAACCGCGTGCATCACATTTATGATGTCTCTCGCGTGTGCCATCCCCATGGTCGTCAGCCTGCACCATATGTTTCCTCACACGTCGTTGTGGATATCGGCGTTTGCTGCATCCGTGCGCGCTTACCGTGATTCAGAGTTCCTTGCCTTGCCATCAAAAGAGTCGTTCAAGAGTGGGAGATAAAAAGTGCTAGATTTGGTGCATTTTTAACAGATATTTTTAGATATGAAGCGTCTCACCCTGGAAGATGCACTACGTTTCATTCTTAATTTTAACTTGGAAAAGTCTACAAATTTCGGTTCAGTATAACAAAGCAAGGAAGAAGAACCCATCGCAAACACAACAAAATCCAATCTAGGTGATCTTTCGGCTTTCGCCACACGGATGCGACAGTCTGAAGAAAGTACTTGAACTGTGATGACTGTGAGTCTCCCGGTGGTGTCGTGAAATTGTGCGTGCTTGTGTCAACGTTCTATAAATACCGGCGCCGCTGCCGTTGTTGTCCGACTCGGTATTATTGCATATCGCATTAGATACGGCTATGCCCCCAACCGTAATTCGGATGCCGCAGCATTCGAATGGAGCCGCACGAGGTGGGGGAGGTCATTTTAACGAACCAAGGAATCGAGGCTTTCGCGTTTTGTGCTGTCGCGTGTGTACCTGTGTGAATTTGGAGTTTTTCATGTCCAAGAATGGGATACTGAAGATTTTCGAAATCATTCTCGGATCGTTCTGCCAGACGCTGTTGATTCAGTTCGGGATGGACTGTGCCAAGGATATTGGAGAGGCATTCCACGGATTTCTGACGACGGTTTCGGCCTGTTTGACGACGACGTCGATCCTTCTGCTGTGCTACGCCATCTCGGCACGGACATTCCACCTGGTGCGGCAGTCGATTTTCGTAAGTGTTGCATCAGTGCGTAGAGCTCAGAGCGGAACTATGAGATTTGGACAATCGATCAGCTGTTTAGCTGCGTTTCTGTTCCCTTGAGTGGACTACGTATCTTTCATATTGGCTATGCGATGCACTATTGTGTTGCGTGAATTTGAGAATCGTAGGAATATGATAGGCATTTGTTATATGCTGATTTTAATTGTTTATTGTGAAAAATTATAGTTGTATTGATGTTTATGTATCAACATATTTTGGTCTAGTAATTTCATACATTGGTTTTGGTGAAAACATAAGATATTTAAGATAAATATTTGAGTCAGGATTAAGGACTCACACTGTGTCAGTTGAATTAACGCAAAGTTTACCGCCCTTAAAATAATTTTATTTTTCGGTTTGTTTTTATTTATCTAAAATTTTTGTGAAAAAATATCGATCCAAGAAATTTTTTTTTCAATTAGGTGCAATAATATTTTTTCTATCTCATCATGAAAAAAAAATTACCCTCATCAAAACCGAAAGGTCGATGTTTAGTGGTTTTTTTTTATAAACCAACTTTATGGCATGATGACAATTTAAAAATGATGTTGAACCCGAATCTTAATTATAAAACTAGAAAAATATTTTTTTTAGATTTTACAAATCTCAATATTTTTAGAAAAATTATAAAGTATTCTTTTTTGAGCGGTGAACTTCCCCTTAATGAAAAAACACATGTTTGAGAAAAGGAAATGTGATTTATTTCAAATGAAGTTTCGGCACGTTACAGGAAAAAAAATCAATGAACATTTGAATAAGGTCCGTTATCAGCTATTTTATGTAGCTTTGTTATGATGTGAGAACATCAGTGTTATACAGAATTTGAATCGATTTTACGAACGCAACTTTTGATTCTTGGCCCTCCAATTGTTTTTGTAAAACAACGAAAACATATTTCCAAAACAAATCTTCAATTGGGCTTATCGATTTATCTTTGTTTTTTTTTTTTTTTTTTTTTTTTTTAAACTCTTTATTTGTTCCAAATTCAAAATAAATTACATTTCATTTTAACCTAGGTGCTCCAGTTACTGCAGTAACGTACCAGCCTTAATTGTTATGACATACATCTAAGTGTTTTTACATTGTTCATGTCTTGGCAATTCAGTATTTTAAACAGGTTTTTTAACCTGCATGTCAGTATAACAATTGATATCTTAAAACTAAAAACTAAAACTAAATCTTATCTAAGTATAAAGGGAATTAATCGTTGCAATTGAGGATTGCAACGATTTTTGCCTGAAATTATTCATTATTTTGTTGGACATTTGTGCTAAAGTCTCAACATTCGAAATTCTATGTACTTCGGTTGTACTGTACCAGGGAGGCAACTTCAAAATCATTTTCAGAATTTTGTTCTGAATCCTTTGAAGTGCTTTTTTCCTGGTAGTGCAACAACTAGACCATATTGGTACAGCGTAAAGCATGGCCGGTCTAAAAACTTGTTTAAATATTAGAAGTTTATTCGTCAGGCAAAGTTTGGATTTCCTGTTTATAAGAGGATACAAACATTTTATATATTTGTTACATTTGGCTTGAATGCCCTCAATGTGATCTTTAAAAGTTAATTTTTGGTCAAGTATTAATCCAAGATATTTCACTTGGTTTGACCAGGAAATTGGAACTCCGTTCATAGTGACTATGTGACTACTACTAGGTTTCAAAAACGAAGCTCTAGGCTTATGTGGAAATATTATAAGTTGAGTTTTGGAAGCGTTGGGAGAAATCTTCCATTTTTGTAAATAAGAAGAGAAAATATCTAAACTTTTCTGAAGTCTGCTGCAAATAACACGAAGACTTTTTCCTTTAGCGGAAATGCCTGTGTCATCAGCGAACAAAGATTTGTGGCAACCCTGAGGCAAATCAGGGAGGTCCGAAGTGAAAATGTTATACAATATAGGCCCAAGAATGCTACCCTGAGGAACTCCTGCCCTAACAGGTAGTCGATTAGATTTGGAATTTTGATAATTTACTTGAAGAGTTCTGTCAGTTAAATAATTTTGAACTAATTTCATAATATAAAGTGGAAAATTAAACTTTTTCAATTTAGCAATCAAACCTTCATGCCAAACACTGTCGAATGCTTTTTCTATGTCTAGAAGAGCAACTCCAGTTGAGTGGCCTTCAGATTTGTTTGAACGAATTAAATTGGTAACTCTTAAGAGTTGATGAGTAGTTGAATGCCCATGGCGAAATCCAAACTGCTCATCTGCAAAAATTGAGTTCGTATTGATGTGAAGCATCATTCTATTCAAAATTATCTTTTCAAAAAGTTTACTTATTGAAGAAAGCAAACTTATTGGACGGTAGCTAGAAGCTTCAGCTGGATTTTTATCCGGCTTCAAAATTGGAACAACTTTTGCATTTTTCCATTTATCAGGAAAGTATGCCAAATGGAAACATCTGTTAAATAATTTTACCAAGAAAGACAAGGTACTCTCTGGGAGTTTTTTGATGAGGATATAGAAAATTCCATCATCACCTGGAGCTTTCATATTTTGAAAATTTTTAGTTATAGACCTTACTTCGTCCAAATCAGTCCCCCAGGAATCATCAAAAATATTTTCCCGAGAGAAAATATTCAGAAAATCCCGAGCAACCTGATTCTCAATAGGACTAGTAAGACCCAAACTGAAATTATGGGAACTCTCGAATTGCTTAGCAAGTTTCTGAGCTTTTTCCAAATTTGTGATCAAAATTTTACCACCTTCTTTAAGCGCTGGAATTGGCTTTTGAGGTTTTTTCAAAATTTTTGTGAGTTTCCAAAAGGGTTTGGAACTCGGGTCTAATTTAGAAATATTATTTTCAAAAGTTTTGTTCCTCAGGGCAGAGAATCGCTTTTTAATTTGTTTTTGCAAATCCCGCCAGATAACTTTCATGGCAGGATCGCGTGTTCTTTGATATTGTCTCCTACGGACATTTTTAAGACGGATCAAGAGCTGAAGATCATCGTCTATTATAATTGAATCGAATTTAACCTCGCATTTTGGTACTGAGGCAGCTCTTGCTTCAACTATAGAAGTAGTCAGAGATTCAAGAGCATAATTAATTTCATCTTTGGTTTGCAAAGGAATGTTTGGATCGAAGTTATATTCCATAAATGTTCGATACTGCTCCCAATCAGCTCTATGGTAATTGAAAGTAGAGCTGTTGGGATTACAAATTATTTCTTGGGATATTTCAAAAGTTACTGGAAGGTGATCAGAACCGAAGTCAGCATGGGTAACCAATTGGCTACAAAGTTGACATGAATCAGTTAAGACCAAATCAATAGTGGAGGGATTTCTTGCAGAAGAAAAGCATGTTGGGCTGTTTGGATATTGAATAGTGTAATAACCTGCAGAACAATCATCAAACAGAATATTACCATTGGAATTGCTTTGAGCATTATTCCATGAGCGGTGTTTTGCATTAAAATCACCAATAATGAAGAATTTAGACCTATGACGGGTAAGTTTCTGGAGGTCACCCTTGAGAAAATTCTTTTGCTGGCCTACGCATTGGAATGGCAAATAGGCAGCTATAAACGTAAGTTGTCCAAATTTTGTTTCAACAGAAACCCCCAAAGTTTCAAAAACTTTGGTTTCAAATGAAGAAAGAATTTTATGTTTGATTCGTCTATGAATAATGATGGCAACGCCACCACAGGGTCCATCAAGACGATCATTTCTATAAATCAAGTAGTTTGCGTCCTTCTTAACCTTATGGGCAGGTTTAAGGAACGTTTCAGTTATAACGGCAATATGCACGTTATGAACTCTTAAAAAGTTAAATAGCTCGTCTTCATTATCTTTAAGAGATCGAGCATTCCAATTTACAATATTTAATGCTTTAAAATCCATTACTGAATTTTAAAGTCATGACAATATTATTTGCAAATTTTACTCCAGTTTGAATAGCATCAAACATGGAGTTAGATTTAAGCATATCAGAAATCATGTCAATTAATGAATTCTGTAAAAATTCCATTTTGGGGGCAGTAATGCTTCCTAAGTCAAAATTGTCAAAATTTCCATTAGAACGTTGGTTAGTATTTTGATTTCTACCCGCTGCAATAGCAGCATAGGTAGCTCCATTAACTCGCTGAACATTGTTAGCAGCGAGGGGAGTAGGTACAGATGAAACATTTGAAGCAGGGGAGATATTTGTACCTACGGGTACGAATGTAGAATTTGTTCCTCGCTGACCGTTGTTAACAGCAGAGGAATTTGTACCTGGTCGGAAACGTGGAGCGTTTCCTACCTGACGGTTAGAACGAGATTGTAGGATCGCTTTGCGAGTCTTACATTCCCAAAAATTGGATTTGTGGTTTTCACCACAATTTGAACATTTAAATTTCTTAGGATCTTCCTTCACAGGACAGTCGTCCTTTGCGTGAGAGGAATCACCACAATTCATGCATTTAGCTGGCATGTAGCAATTTTTAGTTCCGTGACCCCATCCCTGGCACTTACGGCACTGGGTGAGGTTTTGGAAATTTCCTCCAGTCTTCCTGAAGTGTTCCCACTTCACTCGGACATGGAGCATAAGGCTAGCTTTTTCTAAGGCCTTAAGGTTGTTTAGTTCACTAGACTTGAAGTGAACTAAATAAAAATCATTAGAAATCCCGTTGCGCGAATCGCCAGGACGGGATTTCATTTTCATTTTGATTACTTGGAGTGGCACAACTCCAAGTAATTTTGCCAGTTCATCTTTGATCTGATCCAGGGATTCACCACTGGGCAGTCCTTTCATGACAACCTTGAACACACGTTCAGTTTTGGTGTCGTAAGTAAAAAATTTGTGCTTCTTCTCAGTAAGATACTTGAGAAGACATTTAAATCCGTCCAAGGTTTCAGCCAATACACGGCATTCACCCCGACGTCCAATTTGTAGTGAAAACTTAACTTTCACGAAATTCAAAAGTTCCATGCGAAGAGCATGGAAATCGGTAGTGGTTATCACAATAGGGGGAATCTTTTCCTTCTTGGCAT